TTTCTGTGTAATCATTTCTATACCATTTAAATACACTGCTGCTAAAGAGTAAAGATCTCTTTAACCCCTTAAGGACCAAACTTCTGGAATAAAAGGGAATCATGACATGTCACACATGTCATGTGTCCTTAAGGGGTTAATTATAGTCTGGACTGGAGATATGGTTTGATACAGGTTAGGGTTTAGTGATGGGAAAAAATGACATTAAAAATGGATTGTTTATACCAGGTTGGGAAATGTACAAACTACAATCATAGTCAGACAATGGAATTATCACTGTATCTCATGAGACACTGACTGACACCTCTGTGGAGTCTATGTGGGTATCTCCAAAATGATAAGTCCCTACTGTGCCCTGCTTTACAGTTTAGTTTAGGAAAATCTGGTGAGCCGCTCAGTATCTGAAGATGTTTCTGTCATTCAGCTTCTTATTAAATCTGGCAGAACTCCCCTCCCCCCCCCCCAACATTTACCCTCTGGCAAAGTACTGACATGTCAGAAATGAAAGATTAGGAGTGCTGCTCATTCCAATTGGCAGAATAAAAAGCCCATAGTCAAACTAGAGCCCTCCCACCTTCCTTTTACCAGCCATTAAGCCTAGTATCAGATATTCTCTGTCCAAATTAATCCAAAATATGTCAGGATTGTAACTCCCCCCTACCCCCCCCCCCTTCCTCCCCATTTTAAGATATTAATCCAAAATATTTTCATTGTGTATGTTACTAAGCAGCACATTTTAATTGTTGCAAATTAAGCAGAGGCTGTTGCAGTTGTGGTTGGTTACATTCCATGTTGGTGGGGGCCAGACGGGACACAGGAATTTAACTTATTTTTCTTATAATCAGGAATAGGAATATATCTATATGGCATTACTACCTTCACAATATGTGGAATATCCCATAAATAGGGTGGAAAAGCATATAAATACACTGCTATAAAAAATAAAAAAAATTGCCAATGTGAGGCAAAATTCAAATTACAAGTGTAATTCAGAATTCAGCCAGTAGATGGCGCAAACTTATTACTTTTCAAAAACACTTTACTGTAAAATTCTCTACGGAATTTCTTGAGCAAATAAATAAAAATAATAAGATATATTATTAAAGATGGTTCTGCATGGAGATTCTTAGTTATAAAATATTCTCTCTTCAGAGATAAAATAAATGATCAGCCTGTCCAGGTGACAAGGTGTTGTTGTTGTTGTTATTATTATTATTATTATTATTATTATTATTATTATTGTTACTTATATAGCACCATCAAATTCCGCAGCACTTTACAATGGGTGGACGAACAGACATGTAGTTGTAACCAGACAAGTTGGACACACAGGAACAGAGGGGTTGAGGGCCCTGCTCAATGAGCTTACATGCTAGAGGGAGTGGGGTATAGTGACACAAAAAGGTAAGGATAGTATTAGATTAGTGACACTTGCAGAAGAGGAATCAGTCAGGAGCTATTAACAGTTAAATTGATACGCTTTTATGAAGAAGTGGGTTTTTAACGATTTTTTGAAGGAGTGGAGACTGGGTGAGCATCTAACGGAGGAGGGAAGCGAGTTCCAAAGGAACGGTGCAGCCCTCGAGAAATCTTGAAGGCGAGCATCAGAGGTGGAAGTACGGACAGAAGATAGATGTAAGTCTTCAGCAGATCGTAAGGGCCTAGACGGGACATACTTGTGTATAAAGGAGGATAGATAGGTGGGAGCAGCATTATGTAGCGATTTGAAAGCAAGAACCAGAATTTTAAGTTGAGCTCTATATTTTATAGGAAGCCAATGTAGGGACTGACAGAAGGGTGAGACATGGGAAGTGCGGGCGGACAGGAAGATGAGCCTCACCGCCGCATTCATTATGGACTGTAACGGCACAAATTGGGAGCACGTAAGACCACCGAGAAGCTGATTACAGTAGTCAAGGCGAGTAAGGACAGTGGAATGGACCAACACCTTAGTCGCATCTGGCGTTAAGTAGGGGCGGATGCGCGCAATGTTTTTGAGATGGAAATGACAGGATTTGGCGATAAATTGAACATGAGGCTTGAAGGAGAGGTCGGAGTCAAAGAGAACACCTAGGCAGCGAGCCTGCGTGGTGGAGCTGATGGTAGCACCGTTGACTTGGACGGAGACAGACACAGGAGGATCAACACTTGAGGGAGGAAAGACCAGAATTTTAGTTTTGGTCAAGTTTAGTTTAAGGAAGTGGGCAGCCATCCTGTTAGAAACAGCAGAGAGGCAGTCAGATACACTAGTCAAGAGGGACGGGGAGAGATCAGGAGAGTGTTGGGGCTGTGTTTGTCACTATTTGTCAATATGTTGCTGGGCTCAGGATCTGGGGGGGTCTCTAACACTGAATCCGGCAGGCACTGCTTCTAACACCGGCTGCTGCCTGTAACCAGGATTTACACAGGAAGGGACAGTGTGTTAGATCCTCCAGGATGTCACATTCTATAGGTAGAAACATTATATGGGACATCTTCATTCTGCTCATTAACTAAGGCTAATATTTAGACTGGCATAATTTATACACAAATATTAAATTAAAAAACATTGATATTTATGGCGCAATCAGAGAAAACAGAGGGTTTCCCCAATAACTGGTGTGAACAAAGCAAAATAAAGGAGATCAGAGATGGACTGAGATGGAAATCTGGCCTTTTGGCATTTAAAGTCAGTGCAGCCAAATTAGGGGAGGGGGGGTGGGGGACGACGACCAGAGAGGGGGCATTTAAAGACACCCTGGCTTTGCTTAGTAGATAAATCCATAATAATGTTAAAATATAACTTTTCATTCAAAGGATTAAAATTGAATAAATAAAAACTCAAAATAACCCAAATAAAGAAAAACACAGACAGGGTTTCTATGTAAAAAGTCTCCTAAATGATCGCAGCAAGAAACATTGTTGCCAAATTAAATCCCCTGAACACACTGTGACTCCTTGGTTTACACTAGGTAACAACGTTAATAAAATCAGATCTCTGTAATAGCTGCTCAAACTGCAAATTATAATATACAGGGATAGTGCAGGCCCAGTCTGAATTAATAATCCCATTATATCCTTGGCACACATTAATTCCTAACCTGATTAATTAACTCCTATTGAAACACACCTCACCATATATATTAACAATGCTATGTATTCCTTATAAACACTGAGCAATGTGTGTGAGGGTAAAGAAATAAGGGAAATCCAAATATTGTGAAATAAACAATCAGAGCCTAATCTATAACAGAGCACACAGACAGAGCTCAGTAAGCAGCGAGACTCCCACTTGGAGCTATTATAAATTACTGACTCAGCTCTCACTAATCACATAGATACTGTGTGTATAACGTGCCCGACGCGTTTCACTAATAATCCGTTAGATCAGGGGAACCGGTCATAATACTCTGGCACCTTGGTGATGTGTCTAAGTGTTTGTTTGCCAAACTCAATATCTGAAACAGAGCCATACCAATCACTGCTCATTAAATATCTATAATAATTGCAGCATTGACACCATTATCTACCAGAACCCACTATTTGTGTGACTGCATTTCTGATCTCCTATAATTCTCCAAATCCACAGAAATCCAGCTTTAAAACTCCAAATTTGAAAAATAAAACCATCCTGTCTTTAATGTAACCCTGTAAATTCATACACATACCTGACAGCCCTGTACCCTGGGCCACTGCTACATGATGGAGATCTAGCTAAATGTCAAATTAGGTTTATATTGCAGTAACACTACTCAAACAATTAATAAAATATTACCGCTAAATCCCAGGGACTAATGACCATGTGAAAAGGCTTAATATATCTCATGTCAGATAACGTGTTGGCTGTATTTACATAGAAACCTTTCTGGGGTAAATTGAATGATAGGCTACTCCAATATCCAAAACTGACAGAGACCCAGCAATAAATAATTAAATAAACAAGTTACAAACTCAAAAATTACCCATGCTAACTGTGACCCTTTAATGTGATATACATTTCACAACCTGCACGTGGATTTAGAAGATATTTATAAATATTCTTCTTCTGTAGCACAAATCAGGATTGTAATAATCACAATAAAACTGCAACTTATTTGTGTAAAATGCAGAAGAAAATGTTAATTATACATTTTGGAATAAATTCGTGATGAGATGGTAGATCATAAAATACACCATTTGCAATCACCATCTGCAATATTGGTACAATAAATCAATCTGTAAAAAATCCTGCTTAAAAACAAACAAAGGTTTCTGATTTGACTCTATAAAATCATGGTGTGTGTGTGTGTGTATGGGGTATTGATGGACTGGGGTGAATATATATTGAGTTATATGCAATGTATCAGGATTTCAATATTCACAATGAGAATACAATGATGTGTGTACATGTAAAACACACCAAATACCCCAAGTTATCAGCACATAGTGTGACAGATATTATATAAATAAATTATAATAAATCCCAGTCTGTCCAATACATAGAATGTGTGAACTAACTGTAAACACCAGGAATAATGGATTAATACAAAATGTCAGGAATAGTAAATAAGCTTTGATCCTTTTGGGCAGAATGTAACAGTAAACATGTTGGTTCTGAGAGGGTTAAATTGTGCTCTCACAGTATTAACATGATTTACAAACTATTTTCTTATTTTTAGGATTCACATGAACCCAGTAGGTCAGGGGGTGGAGCTTACTGGAGGGGCGGGGTCAGTACAAGGGGTGGAGTCTAGTGACCTGTCAATTGAAAACGTCACCGGCTGCCATTGGCCGAGTGTGTGTCAGATTTTATATATATACAGTGTGTGCAGTGCATGTATAGTGTATATACTGTGTGTGCATGCAGTGTGTGTGTATTTATTGTGTCAGTGTGTATATACAGTGTGTACATGCAGTGTGTGTGTATTTATTGTGTCAGTGTGTGTATATACTGTGTGTACATGCAGTGTGTGTGTCTATATTGTGTCAGTGTGTGTATATACAGTGTGTACATGCAGTGTGTGTCTATATTGTGTCAGTGTGTGTATATACAGTGTGTACATGCAGTGTTCTATACAGTCAGTGTATATACAGTGTACATGCAGTATTGTGTCAGTGCGTATATACAGTGTGTACATGCAGTGTGTGTGTATATATTGTGTCAGTGTGTATATACAGTGTGTACATGCAGTTTGTGTGTGTATATAGTGTGTCAGTGTGTATATACAGTGTGTACATGCAGTTTGTGTGTCTATATTGTGTCAGTGTGTACATGCAGTGTGTGTGTATATATTGTGTCAGTGTGTATATACAGTGTGTACATGCAGTTTGTGTGTGTATATAGTGTGTCAGTGTGTATATACAGTGTGTACATGCAGTTTGTGTGTGTATATAGTGTGTCAGTGTGTATATACAGTGTGTACATGCAGTTTGTGTGTGTGTCTATATTATGTCAGTGTGTATATACAGTGTGTACATGCAGTGTGTGTGTATATATTGTGTCAGTGTGTATATACAGTGTGTACATGCAGTTTGTGTGTGTATATAGTGTGTCAGTGTGTATATACAGTGTGTACATGCAGTTTGTGTGTGTATATAGTGTGTCAGTGTGTATATACAGTGTGTACATGCAGTTTGTGTGTGTGTCTATATTGTGTCAGTGTGTATATACAGTGTGTACATGCAGTGTGTGTGTATATATTGTGTCAGTGTGTATATACAGTGTGTACATGCAGTTTGTGTGTGTATATAGTGTGTCAGTGTGTATATACAGTGTGTACATGCAGTTTGTGTGTGTATATAGTGTGTCAGTGTGTATATACAGTGTGTACATGCAGTTTGTGTGTGTGTGTCTATATTGTGTCAGTGTGTATATACAGTGTGTACATGCAGTGTGTGTGTGTCTATATTGTGTCAGTGTGTATATACAGTGTGTACATGCAGTGTGTGTGTGTCTATATTGTGTCAGTGTGTATATACAGTGTGTACATGCAGTGTGTGTGTGTCTATATTGTGTCAGTGTGTAAATACAGTGTGTACATGCAGTGTGTGTATATAGTGTGTCAGTGTGTATATACAGTGTGTACATGCAGTGTGTGTGTGTGTCTATATATTGTGTCAGTGTGTACATGCAGTGTGTGTATATACAGTGTGTACATGCAGTTTGTGTGTGTGTATATATTGTGTCAGTGTGTGTGTGTGTCTATATTGTGTCAGTGTGTGTATATACAGTGTGTACATGCAGTGTTTGTGTGTCTATATTGTGTCAGTGTGTATATACAGTGTGTACATGCAGTGTGTGTGTGTGTCTATATTGTGTCAGTGTGTTTCTCACCTCCGGTCTGGTTGAAGCGTTGCATTGCTGTCCTCACATTGTTTTTGAATACAGGCTCAGTGGCTTTGAGGTTATTTGTCTCACTCTCCCAGTATTCCTGTCCCTCTCTATTCATCCACGGAGCCACAGGAACAGCCCGGCCGGTGTCACTGTTAGAATTCATTATCTGCCTCCCATCCACATAGCCAACGATAGAAAATACAGGCAGCCCATGTCCGGGAGCTGAGACACCAGTGTAATAATACTGGAGAGAGTGACCTGAGACAGACAGATACATGTCAGAGAGAGAGAGACCTGAGACAGACAGACACATGTCAGAGAGAGAGAGAGAGACCTGAGACAGACAGACACATGTCAGAGAGAGAGTGACCTGAGACAGACAGACACATGTCAGAGAGAGAGAGACCTGAGACAGACAGACACATGTCAGAGAGAGAGAGACCTGAGACAGACAGACACATGTCAGAGAGAGAGAGACCTGAGACAGACAGACACATGTCAGAGAGAGACCTGAGACAGACAGACACATGTCAGAGAGAGAGAGAGAGACCTGAGACAGACACATGTCAGAGAGAGAGAGACCTGAGACAGACAGACACATGTCAGAGAGAGAGACCTGAGACAGACAGACACATGTCAGAGAGAGAGAGAGAGACCTGAGACAGACAGACACATGTCAGAGAGAGAGAGACCTGAGACAGACAGACACATGTCAGAGAGAGAGTGACCTGAGACAGACAGACACATGTCAGAGAGAGAGTGACCTGAGACAGACAGACACATGTTAGAGAGAGAGAGAGTGACCTGAGACAGACAGACACATGTCAGAGAGAGAGTGACCTGAGACAGACAGACACATGTTAGAGAGAGAGAGAGTGACCTGAGACAGACAGACACATGTCAGAGAGAGAGAGTCACCTGAGGCAGACACATGTCAGAGAGAGAGAGAGTGACCTGAGGCACAGACAGATGTCAGAGAGTGAGAGTGACCTGACACAGACACACATGTCAGAGAGACAGATATATTATGGAGACAGTTTATAAATCAGGAAGGCTATAGATCAATCACAGTCTATATATTATTCAGTTTTATATTACTCCGTCTGTAAATCAATCATTCAGTCTATAGATCACACAGTCTATATATTATACAGTCTATATATTACACAGTCTATATATTATTCAGTCTATACTCACTGCAATACACCCCAGAGACCCCGGCAATGAGCAACAGGAGGAGGGGAGCCTTCATATTGTAACTGAGTATTAAAAACTGAAACTGTAACTAACTCCCAGCCTGACTCAGCCAGGACTGTGCTGGGAGGGGGGAGCTCTGTATATATAGAGGGAGAAGGAGCTCTGTGCTGATTGGATGCAGCTTCACCAACTGTCCAATGGGAAAATTAATACTCAGCAGATCAGCTGTTACCAGGCAGAGAAGAAAGTTATAGGTTGTGAATAGAGATAGTGAAAGTGAAAGGGATTGCATTCTGTTTTATCCCCATTTTATAACTATGGGGTATGGGGTTGGGAGCAGTTGGTCAGGTGCTTCAGGATGATTGAAATGCATTTCCTTTATATGCAGTTAAATATATAATAAAATGGTTCTACAACTAACCATAATGCAGAATCAGTGGTATCCCTGGGCTTGTTTTCCTTGAACTCGAAGGTCCCATCTTGGGGTGATGGGAGACAGAGACACCCGAAGTGTGTTGCTTATTTACTGACATGTGGCATACAGTATGTGGGAAGGACCACTAGACCACTAAAAGTGAGATTTTTAGAACACTTTAACAATATTTGAAAAAAAATCACAACGCACTCCATGCCTGTTCATTGTAATACATGCCCTTCTTTGAAATTTGAGAATTTTGTATGTTTTGGTTTGGAGTGGGTCACATTGGATGAGAGAGGGGGGGAACGGACTATGCGTTTGAGACAGAGAGAGGGATATTGGATCTACATGTTAAAAACTTTGAGCCCTCATGGACTCAATATGGATTTCGATATGGTATGCTTTTTGTAAATACCCCCTCTAAAAAACACCTTTTTATTGTCTCCAAGTGGTCCGATCCCCTCCTCTTATCTTCTCCCCCCCCCCCATCCTTCCCCTTTTTGATGTTTCTTATTCTTACTTAATTAACTTATGGTATGCACATATGTACATTTAGACACTTGAACTACTTAATTTATTATGCACTCAATTTTTAAATGCTTATTATTCTATAACTAGATTGGGTGCATATATGTATATTTATTTTTATGGTCATTCCATTTTAGAACATTATTTAATGATTTTAGACATGTAAAAGAATTAGCACATTTCTAAAAAGACACTTTTTTTTTTATATTGTTATACTTCGAACAGTAATTGGGATTCCCTTCTTTTTTTTCTTCCCCTTCCCTTCTGCTTCTCTATTATCTATATGTGGGACTAATACGGAATGGAGTTTCCACCACTTCCAGGTACGAGCAGTGGAACGCACTGTGGAACGCAAGTGCGACCACAGGCGCGACCGGATGGCGTGCTGAAACTCCAAATGGCGTCTGAGGATATGACGCACAGCCGAAATAATGTAGAACAGGTGAACAGGAAGTCACAGCAAATTTCTATTGGAGGATTTTCGTCGAAAAGGCGCGATAAAGATATTTAAAAGTGTAATACTAATTTATTTGGAACTCAACTGCAGAAATTTTAATTCCAGTAAATGTTAGTTTTACCTATTTTTGTTACTGATGTGGAGGAGAGGATACTGTAGCTTTAAACCCTCAAGCAGGATGTTAATTGCAAGGAAAAAATAAGCCACTGATGATTTGCACAAAGCCAAACAGTCCCAATTTAAGAATAGTGCAGAGAATGTATGCAGAGTTAGGTTAGGTTAATTGTGATAGAATAACTGCAAGCAAAATTATCAATGAGGCAAGACAGAATTGCAACTAGGAATAATTTGATTGTTGGAAGTAGAATTAAGCCTTAGAAGCAGTTCCTTATTTATAACAGAGAGTAACTTGAGTGAATGACACAGTATTGAGCCTCAGAAGCAGTCTCTTATTAGTAACAGCGAGTAACTTGATTGAAGGAAATAATACTTAGCTTAAGAGGCAGTTCTGGAACTGGAGAGTTTAATTTAATCCAATAGTTGTGGAGAGGAATAGAAGTCCGTTTAACAAGCCGAGGTCAGGGAGTGGAGAAGGAGGGTAGTCGTCCAGAGCGTTTTTCGGTACACGGTTAGTTCAAAATAGAGCAGCTGGTAAATTTTACAGACACCTGTACAATAATCCAGCCCTTTGAATCTGGCGCGGTCTTCCTATGTAGCGTGGAAGGACCGCGTCAGAAAAAAGGGGCGGGGCGAAGCTCCGTGAACCCGGAAGTGGTTTTTTTTGGCGAAAAGCACGGCAGGTATAACCTGACAAAAAGGAACAAGGACGTGGACTAACACCATCACTGCCATATGCCCCTGAAGAAGTCCGACTGAAGGACGAAACGCGTAGGGCCAGGAGACAAGATATGGTGACTTTTAATTTGTGTGTTTTAAACTTATTTTAATTGCTGCATTTATGGATCTGAGGCTGCTATCTGGTTGCTGATTACAGAAGATTGTGCTGCAACATATCTTGATATGCCAGTGTGAAGATTCCAGCTTGTAAGTGTGATTCAATAAAAAGGTGTTATAATTTTTAAAGATACACACTATGTTTTGTTTTACTCCTTTTTGTTCCATACATGGCTGATGATTCGAAGTGACAACGATATCCACGTCCCCAAAGAAACCTTTACGTGCCTGTTATCTATTTATTCTTTGTGAGTAACCTGCGGGCCACTCACATTTCACCCCTATCTAAGCCTTGCTTAGGCCATTTCACCAATTTTTAGATTGTATATGTTTTGTACTCCGTAGTCTTGTTTTGGTTGCGGTCATTGCAGAAAACCCTGCTTCACAAAGATAGGATGTTGGAAAGGGAAGGAGGCTTTTCAATGCTTTTGTGATAATCTCAGTATATTCTGTCCTGACTTTCCAGAACGTATAGAGATTTGAAATTGCCCCAAACATATTTTTAAGACCACCATCATTTGCTATCTCAAGCAGTTGATCCTCTTCTTTCATGGACAAAGTCGATTCACCTGGCTTATTCACAAATGGGTCACAGATCCTTTCCTTCCCATTTCCGAGGTCTTTTTTAGTTGGGAAGTAATACTCAAACTCTTTTGAAAGCTAAGATAGGTACCTGTGTACCAGCTGGGAGAACGAAGGCCCTGGCTCAGACTCTTTTAAAATCTCTGCTAATGTTTGAAAGATGTCAAAATCCCATTGTTCACTCGTCGTCCTCCAGTTTGGCTTTAAGTGCAGCCACTTTATCTGTTAACTTGAACATGGTTGTCATTCTCCCCTGAAGAGACAGATTGAGCTCGTTGAGCAGGATGAATATGTCACACAAGTCAGCAAGTTTTGTGACCCATTCCATGTCATTAAAATGTGCTGCCAGTGGTGACTGTTTTTCAAAAAGAAGTCTATGGAGCGGTTCACGTAACTCAAAACTTCTGGACAGTGATTTACCTTTAGAAAGCCATCTCACATCCGTGTATAAGACAAGACGTGTATGCTCTGCATCCATCTCCTCACAAAGCTGTGCAAACCAACGTGAATTAAGGGCATGCACTTTAATGTGGTTAATTATTTTAATCACATCCTGCAAAACATTGTTCAGTTCAGGTGACATTTTTCGGCTAGCCAGCATTTCTCTATGGATGACACAGTGTGTAGACTCACATGCAGAAGCAACCTCTTTGACCCGAGTAATTAAACCAGAGATCCGTCCAGTCATCGCAGCTGCTCTGTCCGTCCATATACCAACACAAAATGACCAATTCATTTTTCCTGATATGTAATCATTCAAAGACTCGAATAGTTCTGCAGCTGTGGTGTTGGCTGGCAACAAAAGTGAATACAACATATCCTCATGCACGTCCTCCTAAAAAATGTATTGCACAAAAACCAGCATCATTGCATTGTTGCCAACCTCTGTAGACTCATTGACCTTGATTGCATGACATGGTGACTTAATAATCCTCTGTAACAATCCTCAATATCTTCTGCTATTTAATCAATTTGTCTAGTTACGGTGTTAGCCGAAAGACACCTTTTGAATTGCAGAATCTCCTAAAATCTTGCGACAAATGTCTTTAGCAGCAGGCTTTACCATTCACCAATGGTAAAGGGCATCTTAGCTTTAGCCACTAGGAACGATGCTCTCAGTGCAGCCACATTTGCTGATGTGGTGGCCTTCAGTTATTTCTTCTATTCTTCGAGTTCATGTTTTTTTCTTGTGAAAACTCAGTAGGCTTGTCTTGTCTTTTAATGCAGGATGCTTAGTCTCTAAGTGGCTGAGCAGGTTTGAAGGTTTCATGGCTTCGTTGGATAGCCATTCACCATATATTATACAAAGTGGGCGTGAAGAATGTGAATCACATGTTGCAATGAACCCATAATTTAAGTAGGAATCTTGGTATTTTCTTTTAAATGCAGGCTTTCTTTTTATTGGCAGTTCTAGAGTCTATTGCTGTCTCATCATTTGGTATTTACCCTTTTTTCTAAGAAGCTCTTCATTGATGTTGGTTTTTTTTTTCTCATTTTGACCTGGTGTTAGCTTGTGGCCTTACCAAAAATGTGACAAAGACAAATCCTCAGTTAGGGAAGGAATCACTGATGGATGTGGTAAGCAAACGTCTCTGAAATACCTCCAGGAGCCGGACACAGGGAGCAACCTGGGTCTCTGGGATATTTGCAGGGGTGACACGGAGAGCATAAACCTCTGGATTATTTGCAGGAGTGACACAGAGAGCATGAACCTCTGGATTACTTGCAGGGGTGACACGGAGAGCATGAACCTCTGGATTACTTGCAGGGGTGACACGGAGAGCCTGAATTGATGCAGAGAGATGGACTTGGTCCAGATGTAGTGGATTCTGTTGGATTGTGATGATTCTGTTAATACTTTTTGTGGGAGATTGTTGGGATAAATCTGAATTGAAACAGCATGTAAAATAAGATTAAAATGCTCCTGAGTGTAATTGTGCTGAGATGTGTGCAAAAGAAACGGGAAAGATCTTTGGGGCCTTGTAATTACCCTCAGGAAACAGGGCATAAGAGTAACTCCCCCTGTTTGTATGGGCTCTTCCATCTGTCACGCAAGGAGACTACCTCCTCTGTGTGCAACCGGCAAGACAGCACCAATGCGCTTTGAAGCAGTCAGCACCACGTCAACTGCGCCTGTGTGCACCAGCTCCTAGTGGCTAGATGAAGCCTGCCGCCCGCCGGCACTCTCGGCCCCTGGCGCCGCATGGGTGAATCAGTCAGTCTCTTCAAAGCGCCACGGCTCGGCTGAACAGAGGCTGTGGACCGGTGCTGGTCCGCGGCCCAGTGGTTGGGGAACGCTGCTCTAAACCCAGACCAATATGAAACCCCAAATACGTACAATAGGTGCAGCATGTTATTTCAGAGCAATATATAAGTAATAGTTGCACTGTACAGAGGTATGCGTATTCGTAGCTAAAATACAAAACTGACTATATCCTATTGCAACATTGTAAGTCTTTGCAAATAATTGAAGATAAATCCTGTGTGAATATACTTGCAAGAATAGAGCCAGTAATACTAGGCTCAAATTTCAGGCATGTGGGGATATTTGTAGGGATCCCACTCCCTTCTCTGTGTACTGGTAACTGTTCCTTTGCCTCATCGTATAAATCCATCGGATATCAGATGCAGTGACAGTTACTTTATTTGTACAAAAAGCAGAGAAATCAATACAATAAATTGAATTAGAAAGTTCTTACAATTTTGGTTGTGCAAAACGTGTTTCGTCTCCTTAAGAGGCTTCTTCAGTTGCTGTGTGTCAAGTTCCCTGTGTTGCTTAATACTTTATATATGGCTTCAATTGTTTTCACCCGGCTTCTGTTTACTTCTGACATCATATATCCCCATATTATAATATATATACTGTATGTGTTTCATTCTGTGTTATATCCCCATATTATAATATATATACTGTATGTGTTTCATTCTGTTATATCCCATATTATAATATATATACTGTATGTGTTTCATTCTGTGTTATATCCCATATTATAATATATATACTGTATGTGTTTCATTCTGTGTTATATCCCATATTATAATATATATACTGTATGTGTTTCATTCTGTTATATCCCCATATTATAATATATATACTGTATGTGTTTCATTCTGTGTTATATCCCATATTATAATATATATACTGTATGTGTTTCATTCTGTGTTATATCCCCATATTATAATATATATACTGTATGTGTTTCATTCTGTGTTATATCCCATATTATAATATATATACTGTATGTGTTTCATTCTGTGTTATATCCCATATTATAATATATATACTGTATGTGTTTCATTCTGTGTTATATCCCATATTATAATATATATACTGTATGTGTTTCATTCTGTTATATCCCATATTATAATATATATACTGTATGTGTTTCATTCTGTGTTATATCCCATATTATAATATATATACTGTATGTGTTTCATTCTGTGTTATATCCCATATTATAATATATATACTGTATGTGTTTCATTCTGTGTTATATCCCCATATTATAATATATATACTGTATGTGTTTCATTCTGTGTTATATCCCATATTATAATATATATACTGTATGTGTTTCATTCTGTGTTATATCCCCATATTATAATATATATACTGTATGTGTTTCATTCTGTGTTATATCCCATATTATAATATATATACTGTATGTGTTTCATTCTGTGTTATATCCCATATTATAATATATATACTGTATGTGTTTCATTCTGTGTTATATCCCATATTATAATATATATACTGTATGTGTTTCATTCTGTGTTATATCCCATATTATAATATATATACTGTATGTTTCATTCTGTGTTATATCCCATATTATAATATATATACTGTATGTGTTTCATTCTGTGTTATATCCCATATTATAATATATATACTGTATGTGTTTCATTCTGTGTTATATCCCATATTATAATATATATACTGTATGTGTTTCATTCTGTTATATCCCATATTATAATATATATACTGTATGTGTTTCATTCTGTGTTATATCCTATATTATAATATATATACTGTATGTGTTTCATTCTGTGTTATATCCCATATTATAATATATATACTGTATGTGTTTCATTCTGTGTTATATCCCATATTATAATATATATACTGTATGTGTTTCATTCTGTGTTATATCCCATATTATAATATATATACTGTATGTGTTTCATTCTGTTATATCCCATATTATAATATATATACTGTATGTGTTTCATTCTGTGTTATATCCCATATTATAATATATATACTGTATGTGTTTCATTCTGTTATATCCCATATTATAATATATATATATATGTGTTTCATTCTGTATTTATATCCATATTACAATATATATACTGTATGTGTTTCATTCTGTGTTATATCCATATTATAATATGTATGCTGTATGTGTTTCATTCTGTATTTATATCCATATTATAATATATATACTGTATGTGTTTCATTCTGTGTTATATCCCATATTATAATATATATACTGTATGTGTTTCATTCTGTGTTATATCCCATATTATAATATATATACTGTATGTGTTTCATTCTATGTTATATCCCATATTATCATATATATACTGTATGTGTTTCATTCTCTGTTATATCCCATATTATAATATATATACTGTATGTGTTTCATTCTGTGTTGTATCCCCATATTATAATATATATACTGTATGTGTTTCATTCTGTGTTATATCCCATATTATAATATATATACTGTATGTGTTTCATTCTGTGTTATATCCATATTATAATATATATACTGTATGTGTTTCATTCTGTTATATCCATATTATAATATATATACGTATGTGTTTCATTCTGTGTTATATCCCATATTATAATATATATACTGTATGTGTTTCATTCTGTTATATCCCATATTATAATATATATATACTGTATGTGTTTTATTCTGTTATATCCCATATTATAATATATATACTGTATGTGTTTCATTCTGTGTTATATCCCATATTATAATATATATACTGTATGTGTTTCATTCTGTGTTATATCCCCATATTATAATATATATACTGTATGTGTTTCATTCTGTGTTATATCCCCATATTATAATATATATACTGTATGTGTTTCATTCTGTGTTATATCCCGTATTATAATATATATACTGTATGTGTTTCATTCTGTGTTATATCCCATATTATAATATATATACTGTATGTGTTTCATTCTGTGTTATATCCCCATATTATAATATATATACTGTATGTGTTTCATTCTGTGTTATATCCCCATATTATAATATTTATACTGTATGTGTTTCATTCCATGTTATATCTCCATATTATAATATATATACTGTATGTGTTTCATTCTGTTATATCCCATATTATAATATATATATACTGTATGTGTTTCATTCTGTGTTATATCCCATATTATAATATATATACTGTATGTGTTTCATTCTGTGTTATATCCCCATATTATAATATATATACTGTATGTGTTTCATTCTCTGTTATATCCCATATTATAATATATATACTGTATGTGTTTCATTCTGTGTTATATCCCCATATTATAATATATATACTGTATGTGTTTCATTCTGTGTTATATCCCATATTATAATATATATACTGTATGTGTTTCATTCTGTTATATCCCATATTATAATATGTATACTGTATGTGTTTCATTCTGTGTTATATCCCATATTATAATATATATACTGTATGTGTTTCATTCTGTGTTATATCCCATATTATAATATATATACTGTATGTGTTTCATTCTGTGTTATATCCCCATATTATAATATATATACTGTATGTGTTTCATTCTGTGTTATATCCCCATATTATAATATTTATACTGTATGTGTTTCATTCCATGTTATATCTCCATATTATAA